TGGGCGACGGCGGCCCACGGCTGTCTCTGCGGCTCAGGACAAGTCCCTGCAGGACGTCTGAGAAGCCCCGCCTCTCGGCCCTGCCTTCCTCAGCCCCCTCCCTCAGGTGTCTCCCTCCCTCCCTCAGCCTCATCCCTCAGGTGTCTGCCTCGTTCCTCTCTCAGTCACTCTCTCGCTCCTCCACCAGCCCAGGAAGAAACTGCTTCAAAGAAGCCGGCAGGGTGGCTTTTCCTATCGCCGCAGCTCCTCCGAAGAGCCCGTTCACCCCCACCCCGCCGCCCGCGGTTCAATCCAGTGCTCTGTTCTGCCTGCCTGCCTGCCTGCCTTCGTTTCTGGTTGTTTTGGAGCAGCTTCGGCTGAGTAAAAGAGGCGAATAGTTATTATTCTCAGCCAAAGCTGCTCCGAGCGGCAGGGTGGGGGTGAACGGGCGCTTCGCAGGAGCTGCGCCGACAGGAAAAGCCACCCTGCCGGCTTTTTTGAAGCAGTTTCTTCCTGGGCTGGTGGAGGAGCGAGAGAGCGACTGAGAGAGGAACGAGGCGGGAGGAAACCGAAGCCACTGAGCCAGAGAGTAGGACAGGCTTCGGTTGCTTCCTCCCTCCCCTTCTTTCAGTGTCCTTGATCCCTGATCCCAGCAGCATTCACCAAAGGCGAAGAAAGCCGCCATTTTTATTTTATTTTTTATTTTTATTTTCTTTGCAGCCCAGTACAAAGTGATCCACGGACCGGTACCGGTCCGCGGCTCGGTGGTTGGGGACCCCTGCTTTAGATCCAATAGCCAAAAATCCAAAAATCACCAAGTAATCCAAATAATCCAAAACTGTTTCTTCTTGCTTCTTTTTTCTACTTTCTCTTCCTGGGGTTCTCTTATCTTGTTACAAAGTTTCAGTTAAAATGTATCTTTTAGGAATCTTGTTAAAGTTTCACTGTTAATTCCTTTCACTTCCAGATGGTCTCCTCCATTTTTCCAGATCCCACTCTTTTGTTTTTTTCCTTCGAATCCAGAAATCTTTATTATCCCTTTGACATTTTATTTTCAGCTTAAATACCTGTTAATGTCAAAGTGGATTGTTGCTGGTTTCTTGCTTAAATCTCTTAGTTGTCAATATAGGGAAGAAAAGAAAAAAACCCAAATCCTTTCCCTTCCCTCTCTCCTTCGCCGCTTCAAAGTCTTCTTTGGGAACAATGTTGTTCTTTATAGTTCAAATTCCAGGGTACCTTATATTGTTGCTTTTTCAGTTCGACCCGGTCAGCCAAAACTTTCTCTTCTTATGTTCCTCCTGCACATTCTTTTCCGGTCGAGTTCTTCTTTGAGGTGGCCATTTCTGACCACCGCTGCAACCGCCTTCGGGAAAGAGAGTCATGGAGATGCGACTCTCCTCGACCCTGCTGGCAGTCTCTCCCCTCTTCACCACCTTTACGGGGTGGCTTAGCCCTGAAACCAGCCAGCTCGGGGCGCTCCAGTGGCGAGCACAGATCTAAACTGTGCACGATCACATATTTCGGTCTGTCACCGAAGAAGCTCAAACCGGAAGCTCAGGAATTGCTTGAAATCTTAATTGGAGCTATTTAATCTGAGATTCCAAAATATCTCTTTCGTCCAAGTCAGCTTCATACAAAATATCTTTCTTCTCCAGTTTGTGCTCCATAAGATCCTGTCTATCCTTCACTTGTTAGACATCTCCAGTCAAATGTTGGATCTCCTCACAGAGTTCCTTTGAAAGTAGCTTTGTTCCCATTCAAGCTTTGTTCCCATTTCCTGAATTAGTTCGTATGTTTAAGTGTATATTCATCCAAAAAGGATCTTAAAATTCTGTATCTCCTGATGTTCTTTTCATTTTCTGCATCCTCTTCTGCATAACCATCCCATTAGAGTATAGCTAAAGCTTAGATTTTAAAGTTAAGAGTTTTAGACTTGTAGATTTATAACATAAAATCCAATGGATTAAATCAGTGGTCCTTAACCTGGGCAATATCGCCCCGCAGGGGGCGATTTCATTTTTCAGGGGGGCGATGGAACAGAAAGGGGCGACGCGGGGGCAAAGGAATGGAAGTGGGTGATATGGGGGAGATGGAGTGATAAGTTTTGGGGACACTTTTGAGACATTTTTCATTCAGTGAACAGCTGTATATCTGTCGTACAAAAACATCAGATCGCTCGCTATTAGTGGATTGAACTGTGTTTTAAAATGTTCCATAAAAATTTTATTTGTGTCTTTTTAAGCCTTTTTGCAGTGTGCATGAATATATATTTTCCTCGAATCTTAATTTAGTTTCAGAGTTTTCATCTTGAAATTCTTAGTTCCTGCATTACGGTTTGTTCTTATGCCCTTTTTATATGTCTTTTTGCATCTTAAAATTAAATGTTACCTTTTTTTCGGGCATTTCATTTTCTTGTGATTGAATTTTGTTTTCAGTGGTCATTGCATTTAAGTGTCTTGAATAAACAAGATAATAATGAAATATTTGTATCATGAAGTTTGGGAGTAAAGTGATGGATGGCATCAGAATTTTTCACACAGTTGAGATATGGGGAAAAGACTGGAAATAAATTATTTGCATCGATATATCCTGATGAAAATTTTAAAGAAAGCAAAAAAACGTGTTTGCATAAATTGAAGAATTATTTCTCTGTGTTGTAATTGAGAGGTTATGTTGGGGGAGGGGGGCGATGATAACTTCCTCAATGGCTCAAGGGAGCGATTCTTTCAAAAAGGTTAAGAACCACTGGATTAAATGATGCTACTGGAGAATTAAAAAGAATTGGCAATGCTACGGTCTTTTGGGTCCCTCTTGTGGTCAAACAACATTACTCTGAAAAAGAACTTGGTTTTTGCCTATTGTTTAACAGCCCACACAACTAGTCCAATCAAAAACAAGTAAAATCGGAACTATTTCTTCCCCTCCTCACAGCAATCCGTTTAAGTAATCCTTGTTTTTTTTTTAAATCAGCAGAATCAATTAAAGATACAAAATCCTCTAGAAAATATCAGTCCAAAAGTTTCAAATGTAGTTTCCACAGTAATTTCCAGCTTCTTTATTTTGGCTGAGATACACCAACTCTCCCCCCCCCCCCCCCCGCAAGGCCATCTTAAAGTCACAGAGCTTCATAAATGACGATGTTTCAACAAAAAGGAAAAAGCAGGCTGCAGCCGGAGGATGCCTCTATTAACGTAAAAGATAAATATGTAAAAAATTAGTGTCTAAGAAACGGTGGCACACCTTATTGTCCATTTTAAAAGGTGGTTCTTCCACAAAGAACTTGCTTCTTGCTTGCCCCGCCCCAGCCAGAGAGTCACCCAATTACCTGTTCTTTTTCAAAAATACTCTGAGAACGTCCAGCTATCAGGGAAGCAAGAGGGTTGATTTTCAGAGCTTCCCCTTTCCCAGGGAAGTTTCTTCTGACATAGAAAGCATTGTAAGTATAAAACTCTGGAGAATCTGTAGCAGACCAAAAGAAAAGCTACAAGCAAGGGACTATCTTCCACCAGAAGTGCTATTGCTATTGTTATATTGAAGGAAACAACAAAACATGGGAAGAAGGGGCCACAGTCATTTTATGTTTGGGCTGCCCTTGAAGATCACCCACAAACAACAACTGATGCAAAATATAGCTGCTTATTCATTGCCCATTAAAAACTACCTCATATAGTCATATAACTCCAGTATCCCAAACACGACTTTGTAGTACAAGTTGCTGGTTATCAGGTTTACTACCTTTACAGTCTTTCAAGGCTATGGACCTGGTAAGTTACAAAATCTGCCCATTCAAGGCAGAAAATATCTGCTACATGAGGTGTCAGAGGATGGTATATGAAGAAGGGCACTTCCTTTAGGGTTTCTCCTCTTACGGGAGACTACCACCAGATACAAGCGTTGCATGTTAGAATAGAATGAATAAGCTAGAAGGGACCTTGGAGGTCTTTTAGTCTAGTCTCATGTTCAAGCAGGAGAACCTATACTATTTCAGATAAGTGACTGCCTAGATTCTTCTTAAAAACATGCAGTGATGGAACACCCACAATTTCAGAAGGCAAGCTGTTCCACTGTTCTCCTTCCTCACTGTTAGGAAGTTTCTCCTTAATTCCAGGTTGCTGGAATTTAGTTGATAGTTAGGAAATTATCAATATCTTCTAAAGAACATTTCGACTGTGAAATGAAGACTGGATACCTGAAATCAATAGTGGCACTGTTTCAACATTGCATATCATTTTCGGTTGATGAGTATAAGGTGGAATTGTGTTATTAAGATGTGGCTATGTGGTTTTTTCCTCAAATAATTACAAATAGAAATAAAAGTATTTGTAATACAGACTAAAAAATGCAAAATTACAAAAAGTACAAAAAATAAAATTACAAAAAGGAAAATATAAAAAAGAGAAAAAAACAGAAAAAATGAGGATAACTTCCCCCTTCATCCCAGTAGGTAGCAACAATTTTAAAACATCACCATTTCTAAATATAACAAACTCTTTTTACCCCATAACGTATCATTTGACTAAAAACCAAAATCAAAATGCTCTTGTCATTTGTTCTTATACTGGAAAAGTCCAGTAAAGGAAACCATATAGCAAATTTTCTATTTTAACCTTGATCAAATAAGCCAAATCCTTGACTTCTCACATGTTTTATGTCAACCATCTCTCCTTCCTCCAAAGAGATTTTGGCAGTCCAGATCCAACATCCAGCTGTGATTTTCCCTGTAAATGCAGTCCCAATGTCAGCAGGATGTCCAGTTCATCATAATTTTTCACTGGAAGTTGAAAAAAGTTCAAGATATTACTGTGTTTTGACATTTACGTTGTAATTTATATATTGTAATGCTTTTATTATGTCACTTGGATGCATACTCCTTGTGATGTCAGAAAAGCTGATTTAGAAACAGAAATATAGGCACAAGCTGTTTCAGGCTTTAAAGATCAAAGCCAATATCCAATATCTATTATTATATTATATATTATATATTATTCTTAACCTGTATAATAACATTTTATTTTTTTTAGGAAAACACAACATAGTTCTCTTGATCAGAGCTCTCCACCACAGAGTGGAATGTCAGGCGCTTACAATCATCCTGTATTAGGAATGTATGATTCCAAAGATGATTTTCCACTCAGAAAAACAGGTAAATCTTATTTTTCACAGTTCACATATAAAACTTTTATTTTAAATAGCTAGACAACCTGTGATCTGTTGGGACATCATTTCAGAGATATTTCAGTATCTGATAGAGAAATAGAATGACCATGGGTGGGCAAAGAAATCAGTGGAATGGACTTCTGACTTCCTGTTGGCTTCCCCATTGAGAAGCAGGCAGTGAGAATTGGAAACCTTCCTTCCTTTTCTCCCTCCCTCCTCTTTATTCCCTCCCTCCTCTTTGACCCTTCTCTCCCCTCCCCTCCCGTCCTTTGAAATCCTGCTGGCTTTCCTATTTACTTTCCTTGTGATTGGTATAGGGAGCTGATCAGTGCCATACATTCTTGTAGGAGATCATTTTGTAGATGAAGTTCAATTGCAGTTCAAGCCTGATTTTAATACTGGAACAGTGGGATGAACTTTTCTAAGAAAGAGACACTGTTGATTTTACCGGGCCTCTTTTAAGACTATCAGTCTAGCTTTCCTTTTGCGAACTTAGTTATAATAATACATATTTCTACGAGTTCCAGTCACACTTAGGCATCTTTTTCTAAGAGGTGACGTTAAGATATTTCAGTTCAACATTTTGATATTAAATGTAGTGCATAATATAACTAGGTAAGCTTATTTGAGTCATTTTATGTAAAAGGTACTGATGGTCTAATCAGTATGCAGAAATATTTTATTAGTGCCTGGTTGCAGTAATTAGCTGCATATGAACTAATAAACTAAACATCAAATGAATGGCATTCATTCTGTTCCAAAATAGGGAGCTCTAAAGCATGGAATGCTTTAAAAACAGTATTATCATTAGAGGTAGGCAGCCTGTATTTAGCTGGAGCATTGGCGACTTGGAGATAATAATCTCATTTCAGTAATCCATACATTGCATATGAGATTGCCATTGAAGATGGTCTGAACTCCATTAGTACGAAATACGGCAGTGAGAGAAATAGCTGAAATTAGGCATCACGAACAATGACATTACATTAAACCATAATATTCTTTCCCATTTAATTTTTCTTCCCAATTTAGTGGGTAGAAAGTAGTGGATTTGATTTACAAAGCCATGAATTCAGTGAATTGAAAGAATGACGTTTTCATGTTTAATTTAAATTTAAGATAATATTTTTAAAATATCTTACTCTCTTGTGCAAAGATATACTGAATGGTACTGAATAATTTTTATCTGGCTTGCAACCTTCCCTTTTTAGGAAGTTATTGAGATGGTGGGTGGTTTTTAGCTCCAGAGAGCCTAGGAAGTTTGGATCCTTTCAGTTGGATTTCAGACTAGGATACAGTTCCAAGATGACTATGATTACAGTTGTAGATGCAGGTTCTCCTCCTACTTAAATGGATAGTTTAAACTGTAGAGCAGCACTTAACACCTAAGTTACACTAGTATAGAGAATTTCAGGTCTTGGTCTTTAGCTATACTCTTCAATATCAACTGTAGCAGGTTATCCATGTGTTAGGATTGTATACACAGTCAGCTATAGATTGTTATCCCAGGCACTAAGTCAGAGATGTGTCAAGTTTGAATCAGTCTCTTTTTCTAAGACACTTTGTTTTGTTTGTTGTTTTATTTCTTTTGCTGTTTTGGATTTAACCGTCTTTGAATAAACTAAATATTATGGAGGGTGGATTTAAAAATAATGGATAGAATGAATATTATTTTTAACTATTATTGCATTTAAATTGTACCAGAGGCATAGGATTTATTTCCTTTTGTGCTTGTTCTGGATCAGCTACCCTTTACCTATATGTTAATATACTATTAATCATATTTCTTATGTATTTTTTCTGTTATATTGTACTTATAACAATATGTTTTCTTAGGTATATTTTCTGTCAATGAGGCATTGTTACTAGAAATTCTATTTTAATGAAATGCACTTAATATCACTTTTGTCAATTTCAGCATCTGAACCCAATCTCAAATTGCGATCTAGATTAAAGCAGAAGGTTGCTGAAAGGCGCAGCAGTCCTTTGTTAAGACGAAAAGATAGTCCTGTAGCTACAGCTCTTAAAAAACGCCCATTAGATGTCACAGGTAAGTTAGAATGGCACCATTTTACTACATTATAATTTCAAGACAATCAGATAGATTGGGAAGTAATTATGAAGATTAAGACAATTGCAGTGATCTTATTTTTTCTTTAAAATGTTCCAGAAAGAATAGTTTAAATGATCTTAATTTTTCTTACAAATGTTCCAGAAATAATAGTAATCAAAAAGGATAGAGCTGCTGCTTGGAAAAGATAATAAGATGATAGCAGGTGACGGGCAGAGGACAGACCGTTTCAGCTCCCATTTTTTTTCAGTTTTATTCTCAAATGGACCTAAAGGTATCAACACAAGAAGGGAAAGGGTATACAAGTTAAGGGAATAATTAGTTAAGGAGCATCTGCCTTCAAGGAACAAGTTTAAATCTTCAGCTATATCTAGGAAGAAGCTTGCAAAAGTTGTATCAGAACTTTTGATCCCTATGATTTTTGAGAAATCACAGAAGACTGAAAAAGAGCAGATACAGTAGTTCTGGTTTTCCTCCTGTGTTCCGAAGTCATCTAGAAATTCCTTCACAAAAGCATCAGTATAGGCACAATACTAGGAAGCCTAAATGTGAAATGAATCTAGGTGTCTTGAGAGGAGCCAGCATTGTAATAGAGCAGCAAACAAAGCAAATGCAATCTTAGGCTTTATCACAAAAATCTAGTGCCAGGATTCAGATAAGTCCTTGTTGTTCTGTTCTGCATTGGTCATGCCATACAGGTAGTCCTCAACTTACGACCACAATTGAGCCCAAAATTTTTGTTGCTAAGCAAGACATTTGTTAAGTGAGTTTTGCCCCATGTTATGATCTTTCTTGCCACAATTGTTAAGTGAATCATTGCAGTTATTAAATTAGTAACACAGTTATTAAGTGAATCTGGCTTCCCCATTGACTTTGCTCATCAGAAGATCTCAAAAAGTGATCACATGACCCTGGGACACTGCAACTGTCATAAATATGAGTCAGTTGCCAAGTGTCTGAATTTGGATCACATGACCATGGGGATGTCGCAACTGAAGTAAGTGTGAAAAATAGTCACGTCAGTTTTTCATTGCTGTTATAACTTTGAATGGTCACTAAATGAACTGTTGTAAGTCGAGGACTACCTGTAGCTAGAATGCTGCATCCAATTGTGGCACAAATTTTAGAAAGGACATTGTCAAGGGTAAGTAACCCAGAAGAGGAATTGAGTTCAAAGTACTAAAAGTTTATTAATGCTACCTATATACAAGAATCTGATCTACTATTGGTCAAGCCAAGTTGGTGCTAGATCATTCACTTGTGGGAATGTAGCGACCCCAAACTGATGGCACATTTAACCCTGCCCTTGGACTCAGCCTGCTCAGCTCCTACAGACATAGACTAACTGAAGGATGTCCACAGGGGAGCATCCAAAGTGATAATAAGAAATTTGGAAGAAAAAAATTATGAGGGATAGTTGGAGACATTACATATCTTTAGTTTGGACAAGACTGTGGGAATAGCTGTCTTCAACTATCAACAGGGCTGTGATGTAGAAGATGGGATAGATCTGTCCAGTGTTGTTCCAGAAGACAAAACAGTAAGTTTAAGTTACACGAAAATAAATTTTAATAAGCATCAGAAATGATGTCTGCAAAAACTGCTCAAGAGAAGACAATGGACTCTTTCATTGGAAGTGTTAAATAGTCACTTGGATGGCCACATGCCAGGGATGCTATAACATTGTGATTCATATGGTATTATATAGAACCATAGAAATGGAAAGGGCCATTCAGATGAAACTCCTTGATCAGTGCAAGAATCTAAAATGTCTTTATCATTGCATTGAATATATCCGTGAAAAAATGTCATCAACTCTTCCCTTGGAATCAGCTCTTTAAATTTTAAAACTGAGGAAGAAGTTTGCTGTCAGGATATTGTTTCTAAACATTCAACCAGGATTTGTCTCCCTGTGAGCAAAGTCAGTTAGTCTATTCCCTGTACTCTTATAGAGAACAGCCAAAATACCTTCTATGTGACATTCCTTCATACCTTTGAAGAGTACTATTATATTCCATTTAATCAGTTGATTTATATTTATTTATATATTATTATTATGGTTCATTGCACAGTCAACCAGATGTTCAGACTGGATTTGGCATTTTTATCCACCTTTCGAGTCCTTCCCCAGAACCTGGGATAGGCAGATGTTGATGTTTGATGGTGTTAGAGGTATCGTCTCAGGATGTAAGTTATTCCAAGTAAAGCTATTATCATTATTATTATTATTAATAACAAATTTAGAGACTGCCCATCTTACTCACAGAACAACTCTGGATAATCTACAATTAAACCATAAAAACTATATAAAAGCATATTTCAGTAAAAGGCAGTTAAAAACAAGGATAGAATAATTAAAAAGGAAAGGGGAGAGCCTTCAAAGCACTAACCAACCCCAAGGTTACATACTCTCTAGTGAGACCCATGCAAATCAGCAGAGCCAGGTCTTCAAACTCTTCCAAAAGGGCAGGAGAGTGAGGAACCCACCTCACCTCTGGGGGAGGATATTCAGAAGGGGTGGAGCAATGGCAGAGAAGCCTCCCTTCCTGGACTCTGCCAGTCAAAATACTTTAGCTGACAGAATCCATAATATATCTTTTCTACCTAACCGCATGCGATGGCCTGAATTAATAAGATGATTCCGCAGTAACCTGGCTATGTGTAATGTAGGGCTTTAAAGGTCATAACCAATATCTTGAATTGGAACCAGAAGCAAGCCAACACTCAATGGTTTGGGCGCGCGCAAAATTGGTCTCACAGCCAAATTCTCTATCAGCTAAAGCTTTCAAATACTCTTCAAAGGTAGCCTTATGCAATGCAAGTAGTCCTACAACCATTTGTATAGTGACTGTTCAAAGTTACAGTGGTACTGAAAAAAGTGACTTAGGATTGTTTCTTGCACTTATGGCTGTCACAGAATCCCCACAATCACATGATCAAAATTTAAGTGCTTGCTAAATGGCATATATTTTAATGGTTGTAAGTCCTAGGATCATGTGATCATCATTTGAACCTTCCCATCTGGTTTCGATAAGCAAATAGGGGAAGACGGATTCACTTAACATGATTCACTTAACACGTTATAGTGATTAGCTTAACAACTGTGGCAAAAAAGGTCATAAAATCAGGCATGACTCACTTAACAATTGCCTTGCTTAGCAGTAAAATTCTGGTCCCAATTGTAGTTGTAAATCGACAACTTCCTGTAATCCAAGTTAGAGTTGATCAGAACACGAGTGACTAAGAGAAGGGCCTCCCTATTCAGGAAGGAGCGTAACTGGTGTACAATATGAAGTTGAACTTCTTACCATGGCTGCCTACTGGTTCTTTGAGCAGAGGTCCAGGACTGAGAATTAAGTCTGTTTCAGAAAAGATTATTAATACATACGAAGTCACAGCAGCTACATAGAGATCTGGTAGTACACAATCTAGTTTCCATAGATCTCCCAAATATTTAATACTTGTTAAGGATATTAATAAACATTTTTAACATATTTTAGAATCTGCATGCAATAGTGCTCCTGGATCTGGCCCTAGTTCTCCAAACAATAGTTCCAGTAATATAAGCACTGAAAATGGAGTTGGATCAGTTATAAATATACAAACAGAGGTAAGATACATTCCTTTGCTCAATTCTAATAAATTTCTGTAGTATGCCATGTTACATTTTCATTGTGGAAGAAGGTACTTCATTGAGGATGTTAACAATTTTAAGTATCTAAATAGACCTTGAAAATGCTTCCTCTTTTTTAATTATAGTAATATTTGGGCTGTCTATCATATTAAAAGGTATGAGAGTATGAAAGCTGATAATATTTTACTATTTAGAAGTATTGATATTGCATTGAGGCAATGGATATATTTAGTTGCAGGGTTTTTAAAATTTCAGCTTATGCTCAGGGAAGGTAGGATCCATTGAATCTATTCTATGAGCTTAAATCTCCTTCTGTGAGCTGTTGTTTTTTCATTAATATAACAAAACTTTTTTATAGTCCCATACATAGAACAACAAACATGAAAACAAGCTTATGAGAACATCTTGAAGATAAAGGAGCAAATGAACTTGTAGCAATAACAGAAATTATTAAAGATTGATAATTGAAAAGGTTTTGCATGTGTTGAAAAATGTTAAATTTGGTACCACTAACTATATGGAGAAAAATTCTGTAAACTTCATGTCACTAATTGAGAAGCCTCTCAGGTATTTATTTGCTTCACATCTGAGAGAATATCTTGTGGTCTTGGATTGCTGTGGTGCACAGTTAGCTTTAAAGCACAGTCTTTCAGCTATCGTCTTCTCAACTCAAAGAGGGCTTTAATAACAAAGTAGGTCATTGATTTTAGGAAGTTTTAACACACCTGATCCAGATTTTTTAAAAAAATAAGAATTAGGTCTAATGCTATATTATACTACCTCATGCCCCACTTGATCCATGTTAAAGTTAAAAGAAATGGAAACCTTATATTAAAAGCCAAAGGCTCTTCCGTTCATTTTTAGAAGTTCTTTCCAGGTAGCAGCTGTAGCAGTACTATACCTTGAATCAGAAGAATCTGTCCAGCGCTCAATTGTTTTAACAAAGACTTCTGAAATTCATAACAGAATGAGCAGTGTAAGGATTTATCTGTTTCTCTTATAATAACTGCTTTTTATCTCGACCAATACAATGATTTGTTATGCCTAAACAGCCTGAATTCATAGTTAGATCTAAATATATTCCCTGCATATACATAGTATTTATATTTTTATGTAAAATATGTTGTTCAGTGGAATGGCTTGCCTCCAGAAATTGTGTATGCTTCATCACTGGAAGTTTTTAAGAAGAGACTGGATAGCCATTTGCCTGGAATGGTATCGGGTCTCCTGCTTGAACAGGGGGTTGGACTAGAGGACCTCCAATGTCCCTGTCAACTTTTTTATTTTGTATGATCTTCCCATTTGCATTTTATGCCTGAGTTACAAACTATTAAAAATCAGCACCAGAAATAGACACTGGATAGAAGTCCTCATAAAATTACTGCATTGAAAGGGACTATTTAGGTTGCTAAATCAAACTCTCATGGAATTCAAATAAGAGAAGATCATTCGAATTGGTTTCCTCCTTTGGCAGTGATCTTTCCAATATTTGACCATATAGTTTGACTCATGGATGGTCACTGAATCTATGAAACCTTTGGCTACTGTCAAGGCAACTTTTAGCATGAATGTTTGAAGTCCTCTAAGACCAAAGTCTTTGTGGTCTGAAGCACCATTTCTGGTTGTCTGTTTAATTCAGTCTGGAATTCTCTTCACCTAATATTCTAGAGAAGTGTAGAAGAATAAGATCTGAAGGAAATAATGCATTAATTATTAAGTAAGGGTCAAGTTAGCCCAAGGAATGAAAGGGGGTGGGTGTGTCAAGAAAGAAGCTCAAGATAATCCTGCTTTGATTCTGTTTAATGTAAGAGGGAGGTAGCAGAAAACTTTGAGAGGCTTTCAAGGTTATGTTGATTGATTATATACCATCAAATTGATGTCAACTCTTGGTAACCATATGGAGATATTTTCATAATGTGTTTAAGATGATAATGTGAGTTTGGTCGTTTGTGTTTCAAGAGAGAACTTTTTAGGTTGATTTTGATTATCCATTTTCTTTGTTTCATAGCCTATCTATGATGACATTCTCAGGATTCTTCTCCAAAGACCAAATTTCAAAAGTCAATACACTTTCTATCCTGCTTCTTCAGAATCCAGTTTTGGTTTTATATTGTTTCATAGGGGAAATAATTGCATGAATCTTCTTTCCTGTCCAGTGTTATACTTCAACAAACCAAACAAGAAAACTAATATATGAAATATATTTGAGACAAAGGAATCCTTTTTTTCAGGCTGTGTATTTTACAATAAAAGAGAAGTGTGTGATAGGTAATAAAACTGTGTAAAGCATTTGAAAGTGATGCTTCCCCAAATATATTAACATAACCAAAATAGCTCTCTACTCAGGATTAAAACAGTTGCATGTTATGGTGGGCTCCTGTAGATGCTTCAAAGAGTGTTCCTGACTTATTTGTCCAAGTTTATGTAGGAGAAATTTGTTCTGTGTATGCACACACAGAGAACTGGGACAGCCCTTGCAGCACTGTGTGAATCCTTCAAAATCACAGTGAATAGGGATAGGATAGAATTGGATTGAATTGAATTGAATTGAATTTTTATTGGCCAAGTGTGATTGGACCCACTTGTTAAAGATAATTACTTAATAGTTGAAGATAAGTACAGGTAGTCCTCAGTTCATTTAGTGAACATTCAGAGTTACCACAATACTGAAAAAAGTGACTTACCACCATTTTTCACACTTACGATCGTGGCAGAATCCCCAGGGTCACCCAATCAAAATTCAAACGTTTGGCAAGTGGCTTATATTTATGGCAGTTGAAGTGCCCTGGGGTCAAGTGATCACCTTCTACAACCTTCAGACAAGTAAAGTCTATGGGGAAGCCAGATTCACTTAACCGTGTTGCTCACTTAACAACTGCAGTGATTCACTTAACAACTGGAGCAAGAAATGTCACAAATCTCTCACTTAGAAACATTAATTTTAGGCTCAGTTGTGATCATAAGTCAGGGACTATTTGTACTTTTTTTTTTTGTTCCTTGTCTAAATCCTTTGCAAAATTTCATGTAGCTGTAAGAATAATGAAAGAAAACTGCAAAACTAATTTAACCAAGCAATAGGTACAAACATTTGAAGATCTATTCAATGAATAATAATTCTTCTCTGCCATCATCATTTTTGCACAAAGATTTTTATACAGTCACAAGAAGGAAAAATGGATTACTGTGCTTTATTATTTGATATGAATAGCTTACACAGTTCTCCAGATAAAATCACTTGTGCTCTCACTGATGTGCATAATATATTTAACACAGAACTGTTGCATTATAGTTTATCTTCTATTTGTCCAATTATAGATGGGTATGTTTTAAATAGCAAACAAGAAGATGAATGGGAGTGGACACCTGATACTGTCTTCTGGTGGCCTCCCCCTGAGCAGGTTGGAATCATCCAGGGGACCTGTTTTCCTTTACTCTGTTCATTGAAGTCTTCCCAGTCCCCTGCCTGAATCCCTATCAGATTTGGCTTTTGGGGGGAGCATGGCAACGACATTTGCCTTGATAGTGGAAGCGGTGAGGATCCAGTAACTAAGGAACTGGAAGAGAGGCTGAGGCTGCTGGAGTAGTTTGCAACTGGTACATGGAGCCCCGTGTCAGAAACCGAGGATGGCAAGAGTGTCGAAAGGCAAGCAGTTGAGACTAGCCAAAGCTGTGAGGGCTGAGGCCAGACTGCAATGCTAGCAACGGGCCTGAATATCCAGACCATTTAATGTAGGGAGTTAAAGCTAATGGTTGGTGACCAGAGCTGGGCCCTCCATGGCAGTAGCAGTGGTGGCTGAGGGTGCACAACCCAGGATTGAAAACCAGAGCTGGAAACATGAGGCTGTGGCCAGAGCTTGGTGGCCCTTGGGAGAGGCCCTGGAAGACCTGAAAGTTTGTGGGTTAGGTTCTGAGTGCCCTTCTTCAGTTGCTGGAGGCCATCTCAGGATTGTCAGTGGCCTTGGAAGCATTTCAGAAGTTCATGGCCACCATAGTGGTCATTAGGCTATTCCAGATAATTTTTAGACTAACTTAGGACAATGGTTATTGCCAGATATGATTTTCTTGTTGAAGTTATGGCAACATGATCAGGTGGGGGAATCTATCGTTATCCCCCCTGTCATAATTATCTCAATCCCTGATAATCGAGATTTTCTTATGCCCCTCCCTTCTGCAGGGAAGCTGCAGTCTTTTTGTGATAAGATTTAGTTTATTCAAGGAAAGTTAAAATACAAAACACCAAAATATTTAAAAAAGAAAAAAAAGAAAAAAACAAGACATTAAAAATAAATAATATCTTAAAAAGATTAACACTGTTGCTTTTCCACCAATAAGTCAATAAACAGACACATTGACATTGACCCAGTCTATCAATCACTGAGAACAAACGAACTACATCAACCACGATCCCAAAGGTACCATTTTAAATGAACAAACAGGCATCTCATTATGCAGCAACAAAATTAGAACCCATTGGCTCACAAGAAATCAGACCATCTCTCAGTAACAACAGCCAGAGAGTTTTCTACTTTTATATGAAAACACAGGATTGAACTTCAGAAAGACGTATGAAGTCAGCTCTATTATTTCTAGATTCATGTTTCTTCCCAGCCACTTTACTGCTGGAAAGTCACATTCCTCTTGACTTTGATTTTCCACAAACTGTGTAGTTTCTGGGTACATACCGTGTTTCTCATATAATAAGGCCGGGTCTTATTTTTTTTTTGAGCCCTGAAAAAATGGCTAGGTCGTCTTTTCGGGGGTGACTTAATTCCCCCCCTTGCATCTTCGGGCGGGCGGCGATGGCTTGGATGTTGACCTCGGTGTTGGTGGGGCACATCGTATCGGGGTCAACGCAGGCAGCACCATATCCAGGTGTGCAACAAGAGTACTTCCTAACGGCAAGGCCCCCCCCCACCATTCCCCCCCATTTCGCATGTTTTAATATAGGCCTTAATTTGGGGGGGAGGGGCTTAATTTCATTTCATGCCTATAAAACATGCTGGGACTTCCTATTGGGGGAGGCCGTATTGTGGGAGAAACAGGGTATTGTTTTCCAATTCATCTACTACAGGGGTGGGATTCTACCGGTTTGGCCCGGTTCTGTAGAACTGGTAGCTCTGAAGAGCAGTTGACACCAAACTGGTTTGCTCCAAAGATCTTTGCTTCGGTTGGGCCCACCTGCCCACCTGGGCTCTAGGCTTCCCTTTATTCCCTGTTCCCTGGCACAGTTGAGTCAGCAGGAGAAGGTTATTACTTGCAGGAGAAATTGATTTACAAGTACTGCGCGCAGAGCGCTCACCGAACCAGTTGTTTTGCCAGTAGGATCCCACCCCTGATCTACTACTTTGAAAACACATTTCTTTTGTGAATTTAAAATATTTAGAGTTGGTTTCTTCAGAATGTTTTCCATGGACTTTATGAATCCATCAAACCTTTGAGAACTAAATTTGACTAGAGATTGCCTGTTGCTAAGCAGTCTCTTCCCAACCCCTACCCCCAGTGTCAGTCTCCGTCTTCTCTTTGTAATCCAATATCTTGTACTCAGTGAAGCAGATAAGCAGAGCAGGGGGTGAAAAAAACAGGATTATTGCTGACTGTTTTGATCCAAGTTAATAAAATACCGGTTCCCTACAGTGAATATTCGGTAAAATATAGTCCAAATATATTTTCACCATTCAGAAATGTGTGTTCTGTTTCTCTACGGAAATACAGAAATTGGTAAGAGCAACCAAATCAAAGAGAAAGCAGAAAGATAAAGTCTGGTACTGGGTTGAAATAAATCAGCAAGCCAATTAACATTTAGAGATAAAAAGCAAAAACAAAAGTTCAAAAAATTAAGTTAAAAGTCCCAGGCTTTCTTAAAAAACACAACTTTGTTGTCACCAAGACCTTGTAATAGTGGAAGAAAATGTTCCATTCCCATTTTCCTGTTGTTAGTTACAGTTTATATTGAGCAGATTTCACGTTTGCTTCAGTACTTGATGATTAATACAACAAACCTTAACTCTGAATACTGTATACTGTATTAATTGATATCGTTGATAGACCTTCTCTAAATTCCTTTGACTCTCCTCTCCCAAAAAGGATACCTAAGCTTCTCCAAATAATGATTACACATGAGGTATTTGTTTTTTATATAATTTATATATTATATATAATATAAATTCTGAGGCAGGATTTTTGGCTCTCTTTCAGACTACCTTGGCTCATAGACTGGTTAATCATGAAGGTTCAATAACACAGCTTCCATTGTATACATCTCCCTCATTGCCTAATATAACCTTAGGACTACCTGCAGCAGCCCCATGTACTGTAAGTGGTATTGTATAATTTAAATGGAGTTATTATCTTAACTTCATTCATAGATCACTTTTTAAATTCAGTAATGCTATATGCTTGCAGAGTGGATCAGGACAGCAAGATTCTGAAAGACTTACTATTCCATCATTACAACAACGAATCTCCATATTTCCTGGCGCCCATATCACTCCTTATTTGAACAGTACAGCAGTGGATAGAGAAGGGGGATCAACACACAGCCCTCTTCTTCAACACATGGTTTTGCTGGAACAGTCAACTGCACAAAATCCATTGGTCTCAGGTAAAGATGCTTCTTCCAGCAACTAGTTGACTTGATCCAAAGTAAGAAATAGCATTGGTGGTTTTGTTAGAGTTTAGCATTGTCTGAGCTTCCTGCCTACCTGTGCTCTAGTGCTTATGATGGCTACTCTTTCTAATTACTCCATTCCTCGAATCATTTTATGAAATGATTTACATATCTAAGGAATTCAGCAACTATTCTTGGCAGCAATGAAGAATAAATTTGCTCAGTCAAGCTTACTTAAAAATTATTATATTAATAATGTTTATGATTAATTTAAGTAGCTCTTCACATGAGTTTTTCTTTAGGGTAGGTCTCACATTGGAATATAGACATATATAGAATTCTTTATCTTAGGTTAATTTTGTTTAAAAACTGACAAATTAGAAAAAGGACAACGAGACTAGCTTAATCCTCCATTTTTACAACCACAAGGTCTGATTTTTAAAGAGCCAAAGTGATTAAGGCATTGGCTTGTTTTTAATACTTGTATATTTTAATCATTTCTTGTTTTTAATTGTGATAGTTATATTTGCATGTTTATTTTATAACTTATATTAGCTATTTGTAGTCTGGAACTGGTTGGGATACAAATGCTAGCAAGTACATGAAAAAAGCATGTTGCTGTAATAGAAATAATTACTTACAAAATTCTCCTTCCTCTTCTGTTCTTTTTTCTTCTCCACTGGTTTTCTACATGTTATCTTCTAACTGGCATCTTTCAGGACTAGGGGCACTCCCTCTCCATGCACAATCTCTTGTGGGTGCTGATAGACTATCTCCCTCAATACACAAACTGCGGCAGCACCGTCCTCTGGGACGCACTCAGTCTGCTCCCCTTCCCCAGAATGCACAGGCCCTCCAGCAATTGGTGATCCAACAACAACATCATCAGTTCTTGGAAAAACACAAACAACAATTTCAACAGCAGCAGTTGCATATTAACAAGGTACATATTTCAGCTCCTTGTTCTTGCTTTTGCAGTTTTAATGCACTGGTTTTGGAAGTGTCTTTAATATGCTCAGCATATAATTATATTATGTAGTATATTCATTCATTAGAATGTTCATAGGAGGGCCTTGGAAAGTGATGTATAGCAGTGGTCCCTAACCTTGGCACACTGGTGTGCAGAGAGAGGGGATTTGCATTTGCATTACAAGTGACGTACGTTTGCCTGCTGCATGCGCAGCCTGGTTCCCAACATGCCATGGCCCAGTAGTGTGCCACAGCCCAGGAGGTTGGGGACTCCTGGTGATAGGAAATATATTCCAAATATAACTGTCATGCCCCTGTCAGAATCTGATTCGGAGGGAGAGGCCGAGCAGCTGACAGGGAGTGGGAGTGTGGCTCCATTGGCTGTGGAAGAAACTGAGGAAGGGCAAAGTCCAGCTAGGCAGAGCAGGGGAGAGGTAGAGCAAGGCAGAGGGGGTTCAGAGGAGGAGCCAGGTCCACCCGCTCTTCATCCTAGGGCACGCAGGGAGGAACAGAGAAGGGAGCAATGTGAGTTATGTGGCTTACAGGGGAGGAAAGGGTCCTGATTGCCTTCATTAGCTGCAGCTGGGAACACAGTGTTTAAAAAGGGAAGCTGTGCACAGCAAGTTGTTGGGAACAAATCGTGAATTATCTGGTTTCCTTGAGGCTTATCTGTGTTCCTGGCGTCTTCCCAACTGTGTGTGTTTTGCTGTTCTTTCAAGTCTGCAATTCCTTCTCCTGCCCTGTCAAGTTAATTACTGCAGCGTGAATTGTTTGGATTTTTATTTACAGTTTGCATGTACTTTGTTTTTGGACTGAATTTCCTCCATTTAAAGACTGTTCTTGGGAGAGTTTTTCTCCTGACAATGGTAACCTGGACATTGGGGGCAAAGTTTGAGATAATAAAGGGACTCTTCTTGTTTATTTGACTGTGTTGCCTTTGTGCCACGCCCCAGGTCATCACAATAACCTTGTAAACTTGAGTAACTAAAAATCAGGATTCTTCTGAAAATTGGCTCTTGTTTACTTAATTATTTACCAGACGTTTTGTTAGAATTGAATAGATTGGATGAACACCTAAAAATGTTGACTTCTCTTTTAAAATGAAAGACTTGCAGATTTCTGAAAGTACAGATACGCCTTGAGTTACAAATGTAATGGAGCCTGCCCATTCCATTCGTAACCTGAGGATTCGTGGGAGTGAATCTTGTACTTTGAACGCAATCACTCCTTTTGCCCACACATTTGCTAATCCAATGCAAGGCTCATTAAGTGCATATGAGGTATCTTGGGGTGAGGAAGGCCATGGGGAAGTGGAGTTAGTGATGGAACAAGCCACCTACTTCAGACCATCCAAGGCCTCCCCTGACCCACTGAAAAACCTCATGCTCCCCACAATTGCTTCTTTCCCCAGTGTGCCACGCCAGGTCATTTACCTTGTGAAGATCTGTCTTCTCTCCAGCATCTCTGTTTCTTTGCCTATGAGCAACAAGCAGCGAGAACAGAGAGAGAGCAAAATGAGTGTGTCCTGCTCAGTTTCTCTGATCACCAAGCCTTCCTGCCACTTCTGGAGCAGCAGGCAGCCTCAGTGAGTGTCCTCCAAAGGCTTCAAGGCTCCATGTGGAAAAGTGTTTGCACAAAGTGAGGTAGCGAACTCGCATTGCTCCAAGCCCTTCATTAGCATATAACCACTTTTCTCATAGAGACTGGAACCTTCTGGGTGTCCTGATCCCATGGGATATCAAGCACCCATTCTTTGCAAAAGAGGATGGGTGCCTGAACTCGTGTAAGACTATGCATCCCAGAAGTTGTCTATATAACTGTATATTATTAATATTTATGAACTGTATCAATACCTGATTTTATAAAAATTGTTTGAGATTATAATGAGATGTTCTAAATCAGTTTGGGACAATCAGATGGGAGTCCGAGTGTGGACTTTGTTTATTAAAAATGCAAATTGTGGAACTAGGACTAACTGGAAACTGCCTGTTTCTGTATAAGTATTTCCTTTTGTAAATGAGTATAGGAAGCCAGCCATCTACAGTGGATCATTGGAAAGAAACTATAGATTGATTTCCTTCCTTCCTTCCTTCCTTCCTTCCTTCCTTCCTTCCTTCCTTCCTTCCTTCCTTCCTTCCTTCCTCCCTCCCTCCCTCCCTCCCTCCCTCCCTCCCCACCAACTAGAATAGCCTTGTAACTGAAGTGTTAATTTACTCTTGCTTTACAAAATTACATGTAATAGTTTGGCTAAAATTAAGGTGAAACTCTGATAGTTTAGTTTTTCTTTAAATGTAGGATATACTTACATTGAAAGAATTTCTGAATGTTTCTGTTAAATTATATCATTTGTTCACATCTTCATCTCTATATATTTTACAACAGACTTCTTAGAGTTTATAGAGTTTATAAAAAATGCTGTAATCAACCTTAGGCTTAAAAGTGCTGCATCATCAATGTGTCGTGAATATTATTCATTCTCTTATTAAAGCAATGATCACAATGTAAGTTATACAGTGTTGCCTTAAAATTTAAGCTGCTGGTATAGATACTTCTTCCAGTGAAAAAAAGAGACACAATTGAAGAAGGAATTTTTTATTTATAGAACAGAGCGAAGACTATCATACAAGTGACTTACATCATTTTTTGTATTTCTGAAAATACACATTTATTATGCATGTATTAGATCTGGACTTCATTCAACTTAGCAAACTAGTTTTAGATATGCTTTTCCATGAAGATTTTACTTCAAACATATTTCCAAACATATTTTATGGATTTAAAATTAGAGTTACCAAATGCTATTTCTTTGAAAGTAAAAATATATTGCAGTTCATTTGTGCTGTTTTGATTTTAAATACATTTCTTCATTCCCCCCACCCAGGGGTGGGATTCTACCGGTTTAGAGTTTATTATATTTCTCTGAATGATTACCCTTTTCCTTGTTGAAAATGTTACTCTCAACCACTTTGGATTTTTAATGCCCTGGGTGTATTGTTATGTCTCCCCTTTAATTTCAGGTGAGCAAAACGAAATTCAGCAGTTCCAGAAATATCACAAACCAAAAAACAAACCCCCACAAGAGAACTGCTGAGGTATTTCCAATCCTCAGCAGTAAATCCAAACTCTGTCCAGCAATCCTGATGTGGCAATAATTCTCAAAGCCTCAAAGAGTTCTCTTCGTATTTTCACTCCCATTAATCACTTTGCTTCTGGCGAATTTCACCAGCCAAGCCGTTTCCTTTTATCCTCTTATGGGGCGTGTTAATCTCCTTAATTAGTCACTGGCTCGACGCCTCCTTCCCAATTGAGATTGACGTCTCAATCTCCGTCTATTTCTCACATCAAGCCAGGATCTCTCAAAGTTCTCTTCTTCACTGGAAAACTCTCGCATGTTTTCCTGGTTAGCTATTCCCGGCTGCTGCTCAGCCAGAGGGGAAGAATTAGAGGAGATCGAAGGTCCTGACATCTCTACTAAATCAGGTTTGTCTCTCCTAGTTAAATCCATTTCCTCATCCTGGCTACCATCCAAGTCACTCAGCAATGCCGGCTCATATTTCACTGCCATATCCTCTTCGCTCGAGCTCACATCTGCCAACGGAACAGATTCCAATCCCGGAGTCACAACAGTGTATGATGGGTTGTTTTTTTTTTCAAATTTTCTCTAATTTAAAGAGATTGAACAAACAGTAACTCCCTACTTTTGTGTAATTTTTGGCATGGCTCCTCTTGTTGATGCTCATAATAGTTATGGACAAACCCAATAAACACAAGAACAACTTGTCCTCTGTAGGAAAACCACTTTCCATATTGTCACAACCTCAGCAATAACTGGCCAAATTCTTTATATTTGATATAACAGAGAGAAACACTGATCCTCCATCCAGATATTCTGTTCTTTATGTTCAATTATTTTCTAAAATCCTGTGTTTGTGCTTCAATATGGAGTTAAATATCTGAGATGTGGATGATTATTTTATTACATATAGAAAAAAATTTGTTCGTTTCTAGTCTGAGTTTTTGGTCCATTACTGACCACAGTCTTCAGAGATTCTTAACCCACCACCAGCAATGATTCCTGAATTATATATCCCACTCTCCAGGGTTTTGTTCCTTTTCCCAGTTCCAAAAGATCTCTGTTCCAACCACATAATTGAAGAAAGGGAGCAGAATAACACTTGTACAAGGAATGTTTTGACATAGAGAATAGGGTTCCTGCCAAAAATCTTAGTTCAAAATGTTTCTGAAGAAAGGGACACAATTACAAATAATTTCAATGATGAAGAAAATAGAGATAGCAAGCAGCTGGGTGGATGCATAAAATATTCCACCAACCTCCATCTATACCAGAAATTGACTGTAAGTTAAATGGCAGGATATGGGACCAGCTACCAATTGGCACAAATTTATAATCTTTGTGAAAGATATAAAATCTTGAACAGACAATGAAATCTCCCCCCCCCCAAAAAAAAACACAACAACAAAAAAAACACAAGAATCACCACATCTCAAATCATCCCATCTACTTAGGAAAATGTATTGTGGCACATGAGGATGTATTATATGATAACAGCATGCTTATAGTGTTCAAGCCACCCCAGGGCAGCAGTAAGGACTCAAAACTGGCAAATGATCAATGGAGCATCTGGTTAATAAGAAGATTATTATTTATTTATTAAAAAAAAGATTATTAAAATTATGGCCATTCAATCATCCCATCTTCTAGTTCTAACCCACTGTCCTTGGAACAGTCTTGTGGGTAGAACAGGTTCTTGCAATACATTGCTAGTCAGCAATCTCCCTCTGAATTATAGATGTCTTGCCAGCAACTGAAGCACTGAAGATCAGGATTTTAATGGCCATAGGCTCTACCACTTTGGTTGGTTATACACTGAAACCTGAAAGTAAAGAGCTGTCCGATTTGCCATTGCATTGTTTCGCTTTGATGGCATTCTGCCATAAAAGGTTAAAGGTGGAGGAAGGAGTTAAGGGATATAGAAGGGGGGGATGACAGGATGACAGGAACCAGAGGTGCCAGACTTGAACAGAGTCTGGCAGATCCAAGGACACAAGCACAAGGAAAACAGAATGCAAATGCCCACCAAAGAGGTGCCAAACTTTAGGACTATTACCAAAACACCTAGCTTGAATACCATTGGACAGTTACGAAGGGACTGAGGGGTTTTTTCATGGAATATTAAGATCTGGCTTTGCTTACGCTGTACCCACTTGGCTTTTGCCACAAATGGAGTTGAGGGTCTTTCTTTACCAAATGCCCAAGTTGGGACAAGCCTGATATTAAGTCAAATCTGTAATAATGATCCACCTGGAGATCTGTGTTTACCATGGGGACCGTGCATGGAATGTCCATGTACAAAAGCGAACGGGAAGAAATGGAAAACTGGGAAGAAGCCACTTCAAGGCCCAGGAGCAGTGGAGACTATCCTGGGCTGGAAGAAGAGGCAGAAGCTTTGGAGTACCAGCAAAATCCCAGATGACAAGTGGGAAGAGAAACTCTCTAGGATAACTTTACCCAGGGGAGCCTAGAGAACTGACCGTGGAAGCGTTCAGGGCGATGGAAAGTGAACTAAACCCCCACAATGTCATGTTCGAGCAAATGATCAATTTCCTGAGGGATGCTTTCAACAAGCTCAGAACCCAAGGTGCCCAGGAGTGGCCAGCACCACCACCAAGCCATCCGACTGCCATAGTAGTTCCAGCAACTGCAATGCCAGCTCTCTACCCACCCAGCACAACAGCTGGGTGTGGCTCAACTAACTCAGCTATCACCACCAGCCTGAGCCGCCCTCCACAGAGAAGGGAGCATTGGCCACTGGCCCTAATAGTGAAATTCAATGGCAATCTGAAGCAACGGGCCTTCTTCCTGACTCAGGTGTGGAACTAACCCTGTGCAGGAGTATGGAATCAACCTGCCAAATTAAGTGGCAAGAGGATTGTGACCATGCTTTGGAAGGTGAAGTAGCAGAGTGGATGGTGACCCTCCACAACGATGATGTGATGAAATTGAACAATTTTGACAGGTTCATGGCAGCACTGAGGAAATGATTCAAAGACCCCCAGCCGACCAAAAGGCTGAAACAAAGATCAAAATCATAAAGCATGGCAAGCGACCTGTGGCTGTCTACTTGAATGTAGTTCCAGAACCTGGCCTCCAGGCTAGCTAACTGGCCATAAGATATGCTGATCGAATGCTTCCAGGATGGATCTATGACAATTTGCCATGGCCAACTTACCAAGGTGAATTTGCCGTAGCCAACTTGCAGTGACCAAATTGTTGCTGGACAATTTGCTATGGCCAACTTGCCATGAGATGACTCATCACAGGACAAGAGTTATGCTAATTTTGAAGAAATGGTTGAATGGAATCAAGGAAAGGATGCAAATGAAGGGGCAAAATGAAATGTGAATCATAAAAAATAAAATATTTTTAAAATTATTTTAAATAATGAAATTGAATTGTTAAATTGACCCATGGCAAATTGGCCATACTGAGCTGTTCTGTGGAAACTTGGCTGTGCCAAGTTGGCCATTGTGAGTTGGCATTGAAGACTTGGCTGCAGCGAGTTGGGTGGCGAGTTGTCTCATTCTGTTCCAGGACAGCCTGAGCAACAAGATCTTTTACACCTGTATCTCCAGAGGCGCACTATGAACCCTCCATTAGTTAATATGTCCTGGCTAACTAGATTGAGATTGATTTGGCCAGGAATGATGTTCTTACACTTTTTTTTCATAGCTTGCTTGAAACTTTGCTTTTGGTTTGTTCCTAGTAAAAGTAGTTTTCTCTAAATCTATGGAGTCAAGGATTTTTTTTTTCTAGGAAATGAACAGAGGCAGCCCTGACATCAAGCAAGCTGTGCTTTAATGGTCAACAGCAGGAGACAGCAGTCTACCATGGGGACCAAGCATCCAATGTCCAACCATGGGAGTCAGCTGGAGGAAACTGAAGCTATGGCCGGCTCCCCCACTAGACCACATCAGGCTCGAGGTGAGACAGAATGGTGAGAGGAGCTGGACTTCAGTGAGAAGCCCATTAGGCTCAAGTGGACGAGGGGCAAAGGGAGGACCCCCCCCTGCAGAAAAGTCCAGAGGAAGCCATGCTGAACCAGGCCCTATTCCTGATACAACAGGTCAGGGGAGTCGAAGAGCCCAAGAACCTCTTGCACAGGCAGCTTCTCAAGGTTCCTGGGTCACCCCAAACCAAGCTGCACAAGTCACTCCGCCTGCAGGGGCCGCTCCTTGAAGGCACCAGCTCTGAAAAATCACAGCTTTGGGTGTTAAGTATGGGGAGACCCTGAACAATTGGGGTTCTTCTTGGTACAAGTGTGGAACTACATGCAGGAGTACGGGCCAAATTGGAGATGGCAGAAGCCCGATAAGATGAGTAACCATGGTCCTGGAAGGGATGGCAGTGGAGTGGATGGTTTCCTTCTACAATGACAATGCCCCCAACTGCAGAACTGTGGCCACTTTATGGCAGCCCTTTGCCAATGGTTTGAGGATCCACTAGCTGAGCGTAAGGCTAGGATCCAGATAAAGATCTTCACCCAAGGACGATGGTCGGTATCCATGTACACCCAGGAGTTTTGAGAGTTGGCATGTTGGTTGGCTGCTTTGTCTGAAGATATCCTCATTGACTTCTTCAAAGATGGCCTCAATGACGACGTCTACCACAATTGCATCTCATGTGGGGGCCCATGAACTCTACAACACTGGTATGTGTTGATGGTGGAAGTAGAGAACGACCTTTTCCATGACCGATAATGGAAGTTCAGTGGACAGGGTGAGTCCCTATAACCCCAGGAGCACGACATGCCTCAGACATAGTGGGGAGGGGCAATGAGCTGTGGCATACCAATACAGCAGACCCAACTTCAGCGCCAGGACAACCCCAAAGGAAGAGGCAACAAAACCAGCTCCAAGGACCCAAGAGACAGCACTGAAAGGTCTGGAGATCATAGAGTTTGCTCCTCCTGGCTCAGAGGTGTTGGGAATTCCGACCAACTTGTGTCAGGCTGACAGCAACAATGATCCCCTGGTAAGTCAGCGAGTGACCCATGTAACCCTCCCTGTGGAGTTAGTGGTTCCCTCTTCAGGGACCCAAGGGAAGATGCTGGCTGTATTGGACTCAGGTTGCATTAGGTGTGTAGTTAGCCTTGAAGTCATTGAAAAGCTGGAACTGAGACTCAAATGGCTGAGGGTGCCCATAGTGTTTTGCAAGCTAGATGGGACTGTAGCTGGAGGGAGCTCAGTTCACTTTATAATTAAACCAGTATTTATGAGAAAGGGAAAGCATAAAGAGACCCTGAGTTTTATACTGGCGCTAGGGATGCAGAGGCCCCTCCTACTCGGACTGTCTTGGCTGTAGAAATGGACCCCTGGAGTGAATTGGAGGAGGGGGCTTTTAAAGATTAGGCAGAAAGTGGCCTAGGAAAAGGAAAAGACCCCAAAACCCGGTAGTGAGAGAAACAAAAGGTAAAGGGAGCTGGGAGTAGCAGCTCGGAATCACTCAATAAGCAAATACAAAATCCCAAAAGAGTACTGGGACTTGAGAGATGTGTTTAGTAAGAAAAGCTCTGAAGTGCTCCCACCCCATCACCTCACAGACTGCAGTATTGAAATTCTTCTGGAGCTAAACTCTAGAAGCCTAAACTTTACTTGATAACTCCACGCGAGCTAGGAGCGCTTCACACCAACATAGACAAGAATTTAAAATGTGGATTTATCCAACCAGCAAAGCCATGAGTGGCAGCCCCAGTTTTGTTCCGGGAGAAGAAAAATGGGACTCTTTGTCAATGCATTGATTGTAGGAGACTAAACCCAATGTGTAGAAAATGTCTACCCACTGCCCTAATGAAGGACATGTTGGCATATTTAGCCAAAGGAAAAATCTTCACTAAGTTAGACTTATTGGAAGCTTACTAACAGGTGTCAATCAAGGAGGGCAATGAAGGAAAACTGTGTTTAATTGCCCTCTAGAATGTTTAAGTTCTGGGTGCTCCCTTTTGGCTTATGGGCCCCCCCCCCACAGTGTTCATGCAACTGATCAATGAGATGCCGCATGACTTTTTGTATAAGCGAGTGTTGGTGTACTCGGATGACATTTTATTTTTATTTTTTATTTTTTTAAATAAATTTTATTAAATTTACAATTAAAAACATATCGACATTACATACACAAAAGGAAAAAAACAAAAAAAGAACACTCGGTCTTACAAACTGGAAAGAAAAAAGAAGAGGAGATGTAAAAGAAAGAAAGAAACAAAGGAAGAGAAAGAGAAAAAAGAAAAAAAAAGATGCGTTTAAAAACAGACAATATCCTTTTTGACAATCTGCAAGATCCAATTCTCCTACCTTAATTTGAATACACACATCTTATCGATATCTATGCTTAAATTGCCCATTGTCCATTAAGCAGTTTATCTCTGGACTAACCAATTATACCAAGAGTTCCAATTATCGTAAAATGTTGAAGCCTCTTTGTTTTTAAGTGCTATAGTTAATTTATCCATTTCTGCACAATCACATATTTTCTGGATGACCATTTGTTCTGTAGGTGCATAGGGTGATTTCCAACACTGAGCAAACGCTAATCTGGCTGCAGTTAGGATATGAATTGTTACATATTTCATCTTTTTGGGTAAATGTTTATCAGAGATCCCTAGTAGGAAGAACTCTGGTTTGTATTCGATTTGTTCTTTGGTTATCTCCTCCAACCATTTTCTGATTTTTTGCCAATATTTCTGGGTTTCTTTGCAAGACCACCACATATGAAAGTAGGTTCCTTCTATGCTTTTACATTTCCAGCATTTTGGACTCGTGTTTGGGTTCATTTTCGCCAACCTCGAAGGGGGCAAGTGCCATCTATAAAACATTTTGTATGTATTTTCTTTATATGCTGCCGATTTTGTAATCTTAATATTTCTGTTCCAAATCTTTTCCCATTCTGATAATGTAATACTTCTTCCGACATTCCTGCTCCAGGCTATCATGTTCCCTTTGACTATCTCTTGTTCTAATTCTACTTCCAGTAAGTATTTATAGAATTTGGATATGTTCTTTTTGTTTGATCCTAGTAAAATTTTATCTAAATACTGCAGTTTGTTATAAATTCCAAAGTCTTTTATATCTTGTTTGTATCTGCTATGGATTTGTATATATAACCACTGATCAATTTTAAATCCCTGTTCCTGTAGTTCTTGTCGAGTTTTTAATTTCCCTTGCGGATCTAATAAATCTTTATATTTAATCATTTTTGTTATGTCCAAATTATTGGGATGTACCATTGCCTCCATTGTTGATAGCCAGATCGGAATTTTTAGATACTGTTTTTTGCATATTTTTTTCCAATTAATTAATAATGAGTCCCTAATGAGGTGTCTATGAAAGTAAGACTGCTTGGGTTTCCCCACTTCCCATAAGAAGGCATGCCACCCTCTCTGGAGGTCATGCCCTTCTAATGCTAAAATTCTTTTGTTAA